ATACTACACTGCCTCTTATATATTTTTAAAACATTCAATAGCAACAAATGTTTATTGAGCACTTATCACCTATGAGGCACTAAGAATACAGTGGAGAATAAATCAGACCTGATTTCTGTACTCTGGAGCTTGTAGTCTAGTGAGGAAGATAAATATTAATCCTATACCTACATGACTATATACAAATGAACTATCAGAAATGTTAGAAAAATTGTAAGAAAGAAATGTATAATGTATGCAGTGTTACTGAATAATATTCATAAGCCACACAATTAATCCTACCAGAGGGAGATAGAGGTGAAGAGGAAAGGCCTTCCAGATAATGAAAAAAGGAGCCAAAGTAAAAAGCAAGAAACCTGGAATGATCGGGCCTGGAAGGGAACAGAGAGGTAGTAGCCAAGAGATCAGGCTGGAGGGTTGGGTTGGGGCCAGACTGTTAAGGGCAATGTGTTCTGTGCTAAAGGGTTTGACCTTTGCTCAGTATTCAATGGGGGAACAAAGCATTTTATAATAATCATTCTGGCCATGGTATGGGGGAAAGACTAGGGTGACATGAATATGTTTTTGACTAAAACTCCCTCAAACACGGATCTTTATTGATAATACTGGGTGCCCCCCCCAAAATGTATATGTACTTTAACAACTGATAGCTCAATTTTAAAACTGAAATGTCTTTTAATAAACCCTGCGTTTATATTTATTCAGTGTGAGTATACATTTTTTGGGAGGACACACTATATATGCCCGAGATTACATTCATTTTTTTTTTCATCTTCTCACTTTGATATTCATTCACTGGAGCTTGAGTAATGGACAATTTTGATTGCCTTTCAGAGCTCGTACTCCTCCTTCTTCTGTGCCATTGGGTTCCCAACAAGGTAACTCCTTTCAGGATTCTAAGGGGTGAATCACGTAATCTTGACCAAGCTAATTAGTGTACTCCTATGTTCTAGCCACAAGTCAATCTTAGGAACTTTCCTGGGAATGATAGCACAAAGGTTCTCTCTTGTTCTAGTGAATGTGGTTGCTCTGGAAGAGAATTCTCTACAGGTCTCCTATGTTTCTGTATGTCTTGCAAACAGAGAAATTGATTGCCTTTGCTCTGTATTATCTTTTCAAGAAAATACTGGCTGTTGTTACTGCTGTAAGTAATCAAGTGTTCTTTGTCTCAGACCCAAAAGTCTCCTGTCTTTGGCTATAACACATGAATCTGTGGCAGATTAACTTGTCAGCTTGCAAATAGGGTAAAATTTCAGACCCTTCACAGTTCTGTCATTAGCACACAGCCCTGGGAGCCTACGGGCAGCCATCTTGATAATTTGGCCCTAACTTGAAGCTGGCACTATGGGATTCAAAAACATGGGAAGAAATTAGATCCGTGGTAGACATCATTAAGTTAGGCTCAAGGTGTGTATGTTCCAAATCTCTTTAGACATCTATATTATGTTCTCTTCTCATCAGCATCATCTATTCCAATTATTTTCTGCATATGCAGTCTACAAAGTATTGGGTATGAAATGGTTGCATGACTATGCCCTTGAGCTAGCGGGGCTGGTGATTATTGCCTTATCATCTCTTGTAAAAAGTGTCATGGCACTGTGTAGTGGAATGATCATTTTTTCCCCAGCTTGTGCCTGAATCAAGAAGAGGCTTTCCGATCTAAGGAAGGGAAATATAATCCTTTCCATTGCCCAAGAGCAGAAACAACAGATGGGAGAGGGAACACACATGGGGACAGGTGATTTAGACAAGAGAAACATCGCCAGAGCCAATGGACATAGGCCATCTCTGGATTTCCAGTTTACATTTCTAGCCATGTAGGAATCAAAAATACTTAGCTGCTGAAGGCAAATACAGCTATAACTACAGATGCCCGAGAAAGACAGCCAGGGAGGTCCAATGGAGTCACAGTGATACCAAGGACACACATCATTTTCATAGCTTCCCAAGTCACTCTAGAAAGGATTCACCAACTATATTGTAAAGGTGTTCTGAGCGTTAGCTTTCAAAGATCAACTGGAGAGAAAAAGCTCTTAAGAGAAAATCTTGGTGAAAGAGTTAGTGCCTTATAATCTCTTGTAGCTCATATGCTCTGTGTTTGCCTCATTTCTGGGATTTGAAATTACAAAAATGTAATCACCATTAAACTAATTGATAATGGTGGCATTATTATTATTCCAAATAGTTTGAAGCAGAGCCTAGTTTGCTTATGTAAACTTAAACTTGTTCATATAAGGCCACAAAGAACCTAAAGTTATAAACCAAGGCGTAACCAATGAATTTTTCTATTGACTGTTTGATTATGAGCCATACAGCAAGACTGACAGAGATCAATAAACGCATACTAATTATTGATTTTGTATATGCTTGAAATACTCCAAATGGCATTAACTTCACAAAAGTAATAAATCCCTTCAGACAATTTTAATGATAGGTTTCAAGAGCCCCTTTTACTTAAGAAGTAATTCGCTTAGAGTCTCTTCACCTAAAAATAGTTATACCAGCCAAAACCGGTTTGGCTCAGTGGTAGAGTGTCGGTCTGCGGACTGAAAGGTCCCAGGTTCGATTCCGGTCAAGGGCATGTACATTGGTTGCGGGCACATCCCCAGTAGGGGGTGTGCAAGAGGCAGCTGGTCGATGTTTCTCTCTCATCGACGTTTCTAGCTCTCTATCTCTCTCCCTTCTTCTTTGTAAAAAATCAATAAAATATATATTAAAAAAATAGTTATACCAATGCAAAAGGAGCTAATAAGCAAATGTTACCTAAAAATTTTCCTCAAATCCTTCATTGTTTTCAATGCATTTATTTGATGAGTATATATATATTTAAAATATATTTTACTGATTTTCCATAGAGAGGAAGGAAGAGGGATAGAGAGTTAGAAATGTCAATGAGAGAGGATCATCGACCAGCTGCTTCCTGCACATCCCCCACTGGGGATGTGCGCGCAACCAATGTACATGCCCTTGACCAGAATCAAACCTGGGACCTTTCAATCTGCAGACCGATGCTCTATCCACTGAGCCAAACCGGTTTCGGCTGATGAGTATATTCTTGACACTGATTTATATTAATTACACAGTAAAAATTTCTACTATACATGTGAATTAACTAGATTTAAGTTTGCACATACAATATTTCATTGAAAAAGATACAAAAAATAGTTGGAAGGAAAGGAAAGCATGATAGTTAAAATAATTTTCCAAAAAAACTCAAGGTGGGATAGGTTTCAAAAGGAAAGATGTTTTACTTATTTTAAAAATAAACTGTAGCTGAAACTGGTTTGGCTCAGTGGGTAGAGCATCGGTCTGCGGACTGAAGGGTCCCGGGTTCGATTCCGGTCAAGGGCATGTACCTTGGTTGCGGGCACATCCCCGGTAGGGGGTGTGCAAGAGACAGCTGGTCGATGTTTCTCTCTCATTGACGTTTCTGGCTTTCTATCTCTCTCCCTTCCTCTCTGTAAAAAATCAATAAAATATATTTTAAAAAAATAAAATAAAATAAAAAAATAAAAATAAACTGTAAACTCTTACCAAAAGAAGACACTTAAGCAATGACTCAGCACTTCACTTGACTTGTTTTTACAAAAAAGCCATAACTATTCTTATAGTAACTAGTGATTAAACTCAGAGACTAGAATTCTTTTAAATTTTGCTTATAACAAACTCAAGAAAGTTTGGAAAACATGTGTCTTAGAATTAGAAAAAAAATTAGTTCCATAAGTGTCACAGGGCCAGATAGGAATATTAAATGCAGCTAGTAAATAGGAGTTCTACTCTAAAAAGAAGATTAAAGATTAGGAAAGGGGCTCTCAAATAAATGCAATCACTTTTCTGACTGGACAAACAAATGATCACATCCTCATATGTGTTAAAGGAGTTTTTCTTTTCACTGATAAAACAATTATGTGCATTTTGGATTTTTCTTAAGGAAAAAAAATTTTATATACTGGAGCCTTCATTCTGTCATATGATGATAGTTCTTGTTTTTTCTTGTTAAAATGGACCGAAATACTTCCATTGATCACGTGTTGTATTTATAATTTTGAAAATATATTACTTTTTAAGTTTATTTTTATTGTTGGTACTATTGTTACAAATGTCGCCATCCCACCACCCCCACTTTGCCCATCTCTACCTAGCCCCAACAAACTTTCCCTCTGGCTATCACACACCGTAGTCTGTGTCTATGTGTTATGTATATATATATTTTTGGCTAATCACTTCACCTTCTTGTACCCATTCCCCCCCTACAGTTGTCAGTAATTATAGTAAATTATTTAATAAATTATGATAAATTTTAAGTAAAAAATTGTATTTTATAATTACAAAAAAAAATCAGTGAAGGAATTTCTATTTTGAGAAAAAAGAAAAATTATAGTTAGACATTTTATTTTACTCCTTATAATAACCTAGGACAGATTTACTTCACTTCACCATTCCTCTGCTGTAAGCTGGAAACAATACTGCTTGAGCAGAAATAATACACTAATAAGAATATCACGTTCTGGTCCTAGCCAGTTTGGCTCTGTAAATAGACCGTTAGTCTGTGGACCAGAGTGTTCCGGGTTTGATTCCGGTCAAAGGCACATACCTTGGTTGCAAGCTCCTTCCTGGCCAGGGCCCTGGTGGGGGCATGTGCAGGAGGCAACCAATTGATGTGTTTTACATTGATGTTTCACTCTGTCTTTCCCTCTGTTTCCCACTCTCTCCAAAAGATCAATGGAAAAATATCATAGAGTGAGGATTAACAATAAACAAACAAACAAAAAAATCACTTTCTGTTAAATAACTGGAGTGTCCGGATAATTTTTGGATGAATATAACCTTCGACTAAATGATCTAAATAAAAAGTACTTTTTATACCACCAGGTCCAGAAAAAAGGAGGAAAAAAAAAAAGGCTGAGGGGAAGTACAAGTAACACATCAGAGAAACACAAGAACACACAGAGTCTTGCTAAATGGTTCATGTGGAAGCCTAATGATCAGACATAACTTACCTTGGTTTTTGGAGATGGTTTTTGCACATCTTTTTCTAAGTCTTTTGGTAGAAGGATAGATATGGAGTTCTTACAACTGGCCTCCTATAAAAGAATCATAAAAAGAAACACTAGAGACCAAAGAACATTACCCAAACCAGGAATTACAATGCAGTAAAAAAAAAACTTTTCAGGGAAACAGAAGGCATTCTGGGTTCAGTTGTTTACATCAGAAGCTAAGGAGATTGTAGTGAGGAGTAAAAAATGTTTTCTTTCTTATTTGTCACATACAACAGTGAAGATGATGATGGAGTAGGTGTAGAACATACAGGACATACATATTCAGAGTTGTCCATTAAAAATCTCATCTTGTCCTGGCCGGTATGGTTCAGTTAGTTGGGTGTAATACCACTTACTGAAAGGTTGCCAGTTCAAATCCCAGTCAGGGCACATGCTCCGATTATGGGCTCAATTACCAGGGTGTGTGCATGCAGGAGAAAACCGATAGATGTCTCCCTCTTATAGGGATGTTTCTCTTTAAAAATCAATTAAAAAAAAAAAATATATATATATATATATATAATTGATTTCAAAGAGGAAGGGAGAGGGAGAGAGAAAAATAAAAACATCCAATGATGAGAGAGAATCATTGATCTGCTGCCTCTTGCACACCCCCTACTGGGAATGGAGCCTGCAATCCGAACACGTGCCCTTGACCTGGGACTCTTTGATCCGCAGGCCAGTGCTCTATGTTTCTCTGAGCCAAACCAGCTAGGGCTAAAAAAATCTTTAAAAAAAAAAAATAATCACATCTATACTATCATGTCACACATCCATAGATAGCTTACTCTTCTTTAGAGAACTGGATAGTTAATTCTCCAACATAACCACCAAACTTAGAGTTGCCAACTTTTCCCACAGTATTTCATAAATTGGTTCTGTTTCTAAAAATATTTATCTTAAGCAAATATCTTCAGATAGTTCAGCAAACTATTATTGAAGGGTGATAGTTTCATAGCAATATACTAATTGAGGAATAACTGAGTATTTGTTTCCAAAATTATGACATCTTTGAGTCCTTAGTTCACACCAAAATAGTACTTTAAAAAATAACAGCAGAAATTACAAGGAGGCAGCCTACTGGGTATTGGATAGATTTACTATTTATTGCTACAAGATAAAACAATAATGTTATTTTCTTTTTTTGTTTGTTTTTTAATATATTTTATTGATTCTTTACAAAGAGGAAGGGAGAGAGATAGAGAGCTAGAAGTGTTGATTGATGAGAGAGAAACATCGACCAGCTTCCTCTTGAACATCCCCCACGGGGATGTGCCCGCAACCAATGTACATGCCCTTGACCGGAATCAAACCCGGGACCCTTCAGCCCGCAGACCGACGCTCTACTACTGAGCCTAACCAGTTTCGGCAATAATGTTATTTTCTTATAAAATAGTAATATAAGAGCTTGAAGAGTAATTAACTTGGATATGTTTCCCATGGATGATTCTAAATACATAAAAGATTACATACAATTATAAAGCAAAGGAGACAATAAGTCAAATTTCTTTCACTTTATAATTTTCACCTGTCTCCCATATCTTCCCCAATCATACCTATAATTCAATCATCAAAATTATGTGTTTTCATTTCGGTTAATAGAATATATATATTCTATTAACTCTAAAGTAAACCGAAATGAAAACACAATATATACACACACACACACACACACACACACACACACCCCGTATTTTCCGGTGTATAAGATGACCTTTGAAACAAAAAAAAGTCAACGGAAAATTGGGAGCAAAAGACCAAAATTGCACAAAAATTACCTGCAGATTTTGATCTGCAAAGTAAGTCTTTTCTTTGAAGTGGGGGGTAGTCTTATATAGCGAATATAGGCCTAAACCTATGTTTTAACTGTAAAAATTAGGGGGTCGTCTTATACGCTGGAAAATATGCTGTGTGTGTGTGTGTGTGTGTGTGTGTGTGTGTGTATGTGTGTGTGTGTATAATTTTTTAAAATTGATTTCAGAGAGGAAGGGAAAGGGAAAGAGAGAAACATTAATGATGAGAGAGAATGATTATGCTTCCTGTATAACACCTTCTGGGATCCAGCCCACAGCTCAGGCATGTGCCCTTGACCAGAATCAAACCTAGGACCCTTCAGTCCACATGCTGATGCTCTATCCACCAAGCCAAACCAGCTAGGGCTAGATTATATTTTTAATTGTAGTCTACATACTTTATATATTGCTAAAACTTGCTGGAATTATATTTATTTATTTATAAAGGGAACAGTATATCATTAGGATAAAATGTTCCTAATGAAAATAAAAATACTACTTACTACTAACAAATACTTACTGAATCATAGGGTATATCAGGCACTGTCCTAAAGACTTAATTCATAATGTCATTTCCCCCAATAGCCTTATGAGTTAGGTACTATTATTATCATTGCCCTTTTAGGTATAACACAATGAATGGTTACAGAAATTAAGTAACTTGCCAATCATCACAGAGATGGTTCTGTATAACTTTTAAGATCTAAGCTCTCATCTTGATATGTGCCTTCTCATCCAATACACCTGACATTTTAAGTCAACAGGTTGTAGAGCTATAGCATTTTAAAGCCAAAACAATTGTTAAAGATTAAAATGTGGTCAACCCCACCCTCTTCCTAATTTTACAGATGAGGGACTTGGATCCTGAGGTAATGTGCCCAAGCTCACACAGACAGTGCTGGAGCTGAGCCGCAGGCCTGGACCACAGAGCTGTACACAGCACCTGTTCTCCGCTCCGTGCCAGGGGACAATATTCCCAGACTCAGTGGGGATTCAAGAACCTGTTCTGCTGGCGGGTAGCTGTGGTGCTGCCAACACTCTTTACCGCCTGTGACCTCACGTACAACCCAAGGGAACACTTGTGAGATCTCCAAATAAGTGTGCATTCCAGTCCTACCCTTTCCCACCAGTCACAACACCTGCTGGTGAAGAGCTACTTACTGGAAATAGTGAATGAACCCATTCCCAGTCTGACTCACTGTGAGAAGGATAAACAACATCCAGCATGACATTTAGAAGATCAAAGTGATTAACTGCACAATCCGTTGCATAATTTGACTACACTTGAACAATATAATTACACTTAATCTTCTACCCGCTTTTAAAACGACTAGTATGTAAATCTTAGAATGTCATAAGAAGGAAGAAAAGACGACTCTTAAGGGAAATTAATAGGAATAGCTGACCTTTGTTTATGACTAAGTGTTTACAAACACCTATAATTCTTTCTTCCTTCACACAAACTAAAAGTGATAGTATTTCTTTAATACTCCTATTTCCCCTCCTTGTCCCTGTGAATTAAAAAGTATAAGGCTGATAGTACGCTATTCCCTAACACTCTGAAAGCTTTTTCTGTAAACTTTTATCTGAGAGTGCCACCTACATCAATGTTTATTTCTTGCTTTATGACTTTAAATTCAGACAACAGAGACAAAGTGAAGTTTAGTAGTTAGAGGATTAACTAGGGGTCAAGAGACCTGGCTTCTTATCCAAGATCTCTAACTAACCAGCTGTGGGAAATCAGGCAAGCATCCTAACCTCTTGGACCTCTCCCTCAGTTCCCAGATCCATAAAACAAAGGGATGGGATTGGTTAGATGAGCTCCAAGAATTCTGCCTAGTCCTTCAGTTTCAGGATTCTATAATTCTTCTGGGAAGAAGCAACATTTGTTGATAAAAAGGTAACCCCCAGGGCTGCTGAAATACTGGCCTGAATCTGGGCACTGAGCAGTGGGCAGGGGACCCAGAGCCACAGGCATGGGGAACTGTAGGGCCACTGTTACTTGGATTTCTGGAGAAAAATAACTCAACTAGTAGTTTAATAAGTAACTGGTAATAACAATGTACTCTTTCAAAACAGATATATTATGAAGTGAGAAATATTTTTAAGATAAAACTTTAAGGCTGGGTCTTTAAAAAGCTACTTTTAAAAGCTGCCTAAGAGAATTAAAAATGTATGTTCACACAAAAACTTTTACATAAGTGCTCATAGCAGCATTATTCATAATAACCAAAAAAGTGAAAACAACCCAAATGTCCATCAAAAGATGAATGGATCAGCAAAATATGGTATATCCACAAAATGAAGTGATATTAAGCTATAAAAAGGAATGGAGTACTGATATCTGCTAATCAAATACAAAAGGACACAAAATGTGTGATTCTACTTGTATGAAATCTCCAGAACAGGCAAATAGGAACAGGGAGTAGGTCATGGCTGCCAGGGGCCAGGAGGCGTGGTGAGTGTGAGTGATTCCACTGGAGAGTGACTGAAGGCTCCAGTCTGTATGGGTATTTTTAAAAATATATATATATATTTTATTAATTTTTTTAGAGAGGAAGGGAAAGGGATAGAGAGTTAGAAACATCTATGAGAGAGAAACATACTGCACATCCCCCACTGGGAATGCACCCACAACCAAGGTACATGCCCTTGAACCTGGGGCCTAAGTCCACAGGCCGACACTCTATTCACTGAGCCAAACTGGTTAGGGCTGTATGGGTATTTTTTTTTTTTTTGAGGGGGGATGGTTTGGTGATGATAAAAATGTTTTGTAGATAGGTAATGATAATGGTTATATAACTTTGTGAACATAGGAAGAACCAATAAATTGTACACTGTACCAGTGGTCACCAATTGGAGGTCCATGGGCCAATGGTGGTCCATGAAGTGAGATCTGAAAGGTTGGTGACTGCTGCAAACAGCTGAATTCTTTGGTACGTGAATTATATCTAAACGTTTAAAAAGCCATTTAAAGCAAGTCCCTCTACGCCCAGGGCAAAAGAAAGAGACTTTGGGTTTGAACTCTTCCCTTAGAACAGGTATTTTCAATGTTTTTCATCTCATGGCACACATAAACTAATTACTAAAAGTATAATGCACACCAAAAAATAAATTTTTTGCCAACCTGACAAAAAAGAAAGGTGTAATTTTGATTTATTTACACTGGACAGCTATTGTTGACATTTTTTAATTGACAGCCTAAGGGAAAAAAGTCAGTGCCCTGAATAAATAGTCAGGTATTTTGTGTTT